AGGGGAATTATTTGTACTCTAAATAGTATTGGGTAGATGATGAAATGTAAATGTGTATAATCGTATGCACAGTTTTGTTTTAAACTGCAAAGTAATCCTTTTCTTGTAAAAATACTCATTGAACTACAAAAAGTGACATTGACAACAAAACTACTTAGAATACCACATATTTATTTTAAATTTGTTGAACTAAAAACAATATCCAGCTATTTCATTGTGTTGGGAATGTCTATTTGATAGGTAAACTCAAAAATGTAAATTTTTATGATTAAAATTATAGAAAATGTAATGCAGTTGGATTTAAATATTTTGTTTGACTGTGGTTTATTTTTCATCAGAATGACTGAATGGTACTGAATTTCAGTGCATAGTTAAGACTATATGAATTTGATCTTATTTCATATTACTTGTTTCGGAGTGCATCACTTTTGTATTTCCAAGTTCAACAGAGAAATTAAATTTCAAACTGATAAGGAAAACAGCAGTTGATTTAAAAAAAAGGAAAGGCATGGATCTAAATGTAATGTTTACGGTTCATGTAATGCATGTAATTTNATCAGAATGACTGAATGGTACTGAATTTCAGTGCATAGTTAAGACTATATGAATTTGATCTTATTTCATATTACTTGTTTCGGAGTGCATCACTTTTGTATTTCCAAGTTCAACAGAGAAATTAAATTTCAAACTGATAAGGAAAACAGCAGTTGATTTAAAAAAAAGGAAAGGCATGGATCTAAATGTAATGTTTACGGTTCATGTAATGCATGTAATTTGGACATGTTTTGTTTAATAACAAAGCCTAGGTTCTAGAATATAAAGGAGACCACCTTTGGTTAGACAGACCTGCAATGCAAAAGAATGGCATTTGACCCTTTACTTATACCATGTATAATAATTAACTCAAAGTGATTCAAAGACTTCAAGATAAGACCTAAACTATAAAACTCTAAGAACATATTAGAGGAAAGCTTCATAACAGTGGATTGAGCAACGATTTCTTGGTTATGATATTAAAAACACAGACAACAAAAGAAAAAATAGACATTTTGAACTTCATCAAATTTTTTAAAAATGTGTGCATCAAGGGACACTATCAATAGAATGAAAAGGCAGCTCACGGAATGGGAGAAAATATTTACAGGTCCTATTTCTGGTAAGTACAGATATCTTGAACATATAAATTCACACTATAAACAACAGCAAAAATACCTGATTAAAAAGTGACTAAAATATTTATACAGGAATTTTCCCAAAGTTCACATACCAATGGCCAATAAGCACATGAAAAGACATTTAATATTAGTAATCATTGAGGGAATGCAAAACAAAAACAGAATAGATATCACCTCACCCGTTAGGGTGGCTATGGTCAGAAAAAATGACTGAGAAAAGAAAGAAAAG